TAGAGAGCATCAGGTTATCAAAGTCTAAAATATGCAAATAAAAAATTCAACTACATTTAGATTTAAAAAAAAATTAGAAGGGAGCATGGGTGACCATAGGTAAATGCATTTCAAAAACATAATTTGAAAAAATTATACAGTTTAAAAACACAATATAGACTTTAATTTCTGATTAATTGAAAAGAATAAATTCCAAAACCTTGGAAACTATTCATAATCATTAGATTATCATGAAATAATTATTAAGAGAGCACTATGCTACGAGTTAAATTAAGAAATTAAAATATAATTATGATTAAATGAGTGAATTATAAAATGAGAAGGGGAACAAGAAAACCCACAGGCAAATGTCTTTTAAGAAGCAAAACAAATAAAAATAAGAAAAATTTAAAAGTGAGAATACATACTGAAGACTGCAGTATGTAATCTAAAGATAATCAAATACAAATAACTATTAAGAATCATAAAATCATGTTAGAATGATTATTTAGAAGGCACATAGTTATTATTTTATTTATGTTTAAAAATTGTATATACAAAAATAAAAATGAGAAAGAAAAGTTTGGTGTCTATCTATTTTTAAATAATATATTTAGTGTTGTATAATATAATATATGCATTATGATAAACATAATCATTTATTCAAGTATTAATATTATTGTTTGGTTTTGGTTATAAATCCTTGTTTGAAAACACGAAGTAACCGCTTTGATTTTAATATTTAGATATTTACCTCGATTACCAATAATCAATTATCATTGTCAGCGTTCCAAAACTAAAAGTGGTTTTAAGTTTTTGGTTCTCAAATTATCGATTTTTTACCGGTTTTCGTTACAAACCGGTTTCTGGTTTTAATCCATGGTTTAAATGTAAAGAAATATAATATTAATGTATGGTACTATTGTTTTATTCAATATTGTTGAGTTTGATAGTAATATGAAATTATAATAATTTTAAAAATAATGTTAGTTTTGGTTTATGGTCCGGAACTACACCAAACACCCCGGAACCGGAATTTACCATCCGGTTAATCGAGTAAGATAAGCCAAAATATACAAACACCAAAACTTTTTTATTGAAAATATTTAACAATAAATAATATTTATATGATTGAAAATGAAATAGAATGTTATGTGTTTAGAATTATTGTGGTACATTATAGTATATTATTTCACTTGCAGACTAATATTGTACGGCATAAAATAAAAAAGGGGGGGTTGAAGCTTCGATAACAAGGGCCATTAGACTATGGAACTGTGGGGGAGGGAGCTGTAGGTT